CCGATAGCAATGAATATCTTAAGTGCTTTGACAAAAAATCCATAAAAAAATGTCATCTGTGGAACCCGTAATACTGTAAAAACTACAACTTTTTGCCGCCCTGTCTGTCAGCCTTCCATCTCGTGCACGCACAAATGTATCTCATGCCCTCATTGGGCATGCCGTCATTGGGCGTGCCGTCATTGGGCGTGCCGTCATTGGGCGTGCCCTCATTTGGTATGCCGTCATTGGGCGTGCGTCATTGGGCGTGCATTGCAGCAGTACTTCAATGACTCGCCAGCAACAAGGCGGCCACTTTCACCATGGAAGANAAATGCTTCTTACGAAGCCACTCCTTCGTTGCCCGGGCGGTGTGTTTGGGATCATTGTCATGCTGAAAGACCCAGCCACGTTTCATCTTCAATGCCCTTAAAGGGCATTGAAGATGAAACGTGGCTGGGTCTTTCAGCATGACAATGATCCCAAACACACCGCCCGGGCAACGAAGGAGTGGCTTCGTAAGAAGCATTTCAAGGTCCTGGAGTGGCCTAGCCAGTCTCCAGATCTCAACCCCATAGAAAATTTTTGGAAGGAGTTGAAAGTCTGTGTTGCCCAGCAACAGCCCCAAAACATCACTGCTCTAGAGCAGGGGTTCCCAAAGTGGGGGTCAAACTTGTTTTGCCCCACACTGTATCTACCACTATTTGACAATGCCAAGCAACCTTGTTTAGCCCCGTGTATCAATTGCAAAGTAGGTGTATAATGTGTTATGCTGAAAATTTTCATCTTTGAATATTCTGCCTTCTATTGCATTTTTGCTCTTTTGCTAAGAAGAGCAAAACTCCCTACATTTCTTTGCTATGGAGGCGATGAATACAATGCTCTAGGTCATGGCCATGAACATACTATAGTATATTGTATCACTTACAATCTGCTTCACAAATGCAAGTAATACACTTCCCATACGGATAAAAAGTTAAATATTAGAGCTTTTGAAACGCATTGCTTCTCATTTCCACACATTCAGGGCTGTTGCTGCAACAGCCTCACTTGGTCTTGTATGATCCAAGCTGCAATATAATGGTAATGTTAATAAACTGTAGGTAAATATTGCTGTGTAACGGACATGAGTGTGTCAGTTAAAAAGGTCTTTATTTTTCTCAGCACCTCTTTTCACCCTCTGTCTGAAACCAGAGCCCAGTCTGTTCTGATTGGTTAGCTGGCCGCCTCTGTTTTGATTAATCAACTGCTCACAGATATGTCGGACATGTCCCCCCATTAGCCCACCACGAACAATGTGTTGGAGCGCCAGCCAATAGTAGCGCGAGTGTTGGGTAGTGATGTCACTATGTCACGGAAATAAACAAAGGAGTCCCATCAAAGTATTTCTTGCAGGGTGTGGGAGAGAAACTGGAAATGGGAATGATGGGGTTTAACCACTGCAGAATATTTACATGCACAAAAACCTATAAAACACTACATTAAAGGGAAAAAAATAAATAAATTGTGCTCCTTTAAGCTACTCTTACAACAGCTTAGCGTTTTAGCTAAATGCTAAATAGAAGTTTAAGTAGTTTTACCAATTCAAGTAATTTTTATTTTATTGTGCATTGGGTGCCAGGGTGCATAAAGAATAACATCAACAACATTAGACTTTAATAATTTGTTTATCCAAAGAAGAAAGGAGAGGACCTTGGCCTTATTGTCCTCAACTCCTAGAAACACTCTTGTGTTATAGGAATTAGGAGTTTTAATATGAGTAATGTGCCTTTTATAATATAATTATATTGCCTGTTGTAATTCAGCAAAAGTTGCCCCTGAACAAAGCAAAGCGGGTATTGAAACCATATAAAGTTCAAGAAGATATAATTACAGGGCAGTGCATCATATCTGTTTTTATCGGTTGTATCTTTTTCTTTTCAACCAGGCCTCTACAGATCAGAATCTTATAATAGCATGGGCCAGGGGATGGAGTTACAGAGAGAGGTTTGCATGCTTTCATACACCGTAGCTCACTGAGAAGCTGCCCGTAGCTGCAGTGTTTCACATTGTTGAATTCTGAGTTTCTTCTCTGAAATGTTTCAAGAAGGAGAGCTTGTTTCTTGGCCTGATCTTTATCCTGGGTAGGTAAGCGGTTTAAAAGTTGGACACATGGCAAGAATTGTTTTGAAAACTCATCATTGTTGCATTTACGCTTTTGAGAAATAGTTGAAAATAATCTAAAACGTATTTTATACTATGGATAGTAAACACATTTCTGAAACTATTCTATCAATTTGCTGGCAATATGACACATCAATAACTTATGTGCGACAGTCACCAGCTAACATTAAAGAGGCCCTATTATGCTCTGGGCTTTTCCCTTTCATGCAGTGTGTTATATAGGTTTTTGTACATGCAAATGGTCTACAAAGGCTCAAATCTTCCCTAAATGAGTGACATCACTATGTAACACTCACGCTTCTATTGGCTAGTTCTCAAATACATATATTCTAAGGGATGGGACATCTCAAAGCGGTTGACCAATCACAAACGAGTCGGCCGGCTAACCAATCAGAGCAGACTGGGCTCTGGTTTCAGACAGAAGGTGAAAAGAGGTGCTGAATCACAGACAGTGAGAAATAAAGACCTTTTTGAACATTAAAGCATGTCACAGTAGAGGCACCAAACAAAATGAACCTAAACATTTGTATCATATGTCCTCTTTAATATATCCAAGTCACCTGCCCTTTTCAATATAGAAATAACCCTATAAAAGCCTTTTTAGACCCTGTAGTGGGGTCTTTGGCAGCATATGTTTTGAGATTGAATGTGTGTGTTTGTGATGTTTTTCCTCAGGCAGTACCTGGTGGTTGTGTTCAGAGACAAACCTCTGGAGCTGTGGGACACCAGGACGGGAACGCTTCTCCGGGAGATGGCTAAGAACTTCCCCACCGTTACTGCACTGGTAGGAACCTACATAATAATGAAACAATTTTATCCATTCTGAGTTGCTAGTAAAAAAAAGAAGAGAAGAATGCAACAATAAAACTGAAATATAAACAGAAAGAAAACATGTTTAGCTATGCTTCTTTAAATACACTGCTGCATAACTCCAGTTAGGATATTTACTGTAACAAAATAAACTGAAGGTGTTGTCTTAACACCCATTGTTGACTCTTTCCTTTGTGATAATACCGTCTTGCTGTGGAGAGGGCCATTTCAAAGATTAGTCTGAACATTTTTCCCAAGCTCAGCAAAAAGCAGCGGCTTCATTAGGCCAGAGAAATGCTCATAAAAGAAGAGTTATGCTGGACAAACTTTACAGTGGGGCAGTAAAATCCTCCACAGCGCGAATAAAAAACGGCAGTAACCTTAATAATACATGCTGGCCTCCCCCAGCCTCGTATTGCTGTCTCATTTCCATATTGATTACAACCTCGAGTCAAGCAGACTGCATTCACAGTGCTCCAGCAGTTAGACAGGAAGGCTGCTCTCCTGCGGGCCTGAGCTTCATTTATGTGAGCAGCTCCTCAGAATGCAAATCACACCTCCTTACCTCCAGTCTCTGTCTGTCTGCTTTTCGCCTGTTGTTAGTCCAGAAAATGAGTGTGGGTCTGGGTGTGATTCTGTAACTGCTTTACCCTGTGTGTCTAATCAGGAGTGGTCCCCGTCCCACAACCTGAAGAGCCTGAAGAAGAAGCAGATGGCAGCGAGGGAGGCCATGGCTCGGCAGACCGTGTCAGACGCTGAGCAGAGCATCGTGGAATCCTCAGTCATAAGGTCGGCGTTATAGATCTCACAATTTAGTTTTATGAAGTCTTTTGCCAGGATAGAAAACCCTCAGGCAGAGTCAGAGCTTCAACGGTGTGCAGTGTTTCCCCTACCATTGTCTTGGAGGGGCGCTGCGCCCCGCCAACGGAGCCCCGCGCCCCCCCCTGAAATTCCAGATGTTTTATTTTTTAATTTTTAATTTTTAAATATATATATAGCACCAAATTGCAACTAATCTATATCTACTGTCACTTTTCACATTGAACATGTGCTCTTTTATTAAATAAACTGAACGCTTTCATTTGAAGTTGTGAGTTTAGTGTTTTTGACCCTAAGAAAGACTGATGCACTAATCAATAACAATAATCCACAGCTCTTCCCTCTGCTCCAGAGGATTAAAAAAATATATATCCCAATGCCACGCCCCCCCCAAACAGTTAATCCTTCTTATTCCAAAACGACTTTCTTATCTTTTATCATCTTCCCAAAATGGAGTCTAAAATTTAGTACTTTTTTCCCAGACATAAAAAAAATGGGGCTTCGCTCAGAGCCATCCCCAACTCATGTGAGATTAATTTAAGCAACCATACGGTAGGCCACCAGTCATGCTCCAAACTAATAATTGATTTGAAACTGTATGCTATTTAACAGTAATCATTATACAAAAGTACATAGTATTGAGATCAGACTGTTTAACTGTCAATGTCCTGGTCAGTTTGGTCAAATAAGTCAATTTATCCGTTACTTCTAGCTAACTATGTCAACTATTAGCCATTATATTATGCAATTTTCGCATCATCTTTTATTGAAATGACTTGTAGCTTTTCTACAATCCTTTCATTCCCCCCCCCGAGAATCCGTGGTTGGAAATCACTGGCCTAGAACTGGTTTACACTCTTTCAAATGTGAAATATTTTAAAGAGTGTAAAACATTACCACTGTCATGTTTCTCCTCCACAGTCTCCTGCAGGACGCAGAGAGCAAGTCAGAGTCCAGTCAGGCCATCTCAGCCAGGGAGCACTTTGTGTTCACGGACACTGACGGGCAGGTGTACCACATCACCGTAGAGGGCAACACAGTCAAGGATGGTGCAAGGATTCCCCCTGATGTGAGTGCGCAGACTGTGTCAACTGTTATGTTTCCTTAAGCTTCATATCCTCCTGGACTTTGTCAAGGTCATCCACATCCTCGCTCAAAGCTATTCCCAGTGGTTCTGCTAATCCTTACTGTACACAAAGATGTAAAACCGTCCTCTTCTCTGCACAAGTTCCTCCCCCATAGAGTAAAAGCAATCATTCCCCCTCCATATTCTGTGTGATTCAGGTTCATTTTGTGTATCTTGTGTGGGGGGGTTGATATACATGTTGGCTGAATAATAAAAAGTGTGCATCCTCATGTGCAACAGCTTCTACAGCTTTACATTTTTACCCGATTACCTGAATGCGAGTGATTTGACATGTGTCATCAGTGTGTCATCACGTTGTCCCAGCTTTGTTTTGCACATGCTCTCTCGGCGGGTTCAGAGCGTGACTCAGGGGAAAAGAAAGAACATGTTACTGTATTTATTTACTTGAATGGCATCTAAAGCTATTAATTTGCTGTGACAGCTAAACAGCCCAGCTGGTAAACAGACACAAGCTGTTACTGAAGACAGGATTTATTTTGATTACTTTGCAAGTAGTCGTGTCACCAAACAAGTTGCTTTTTATAATTGATTAAAGAAAGGTGTTGTTGTAGTTTCCCAAGCGTCCATCCCCCCTAAAACCCCCCCCCCCAAGGTAACATAACATTGAAGCTATTGTTTAAGATGTCTTTGTTTTCAGGAACCTTTTTTGGACTGCCTGTAATGTTTTCAAGCTGAGTCATGATGTAAAGTAGCAGCACCTTCTGTTGTTTTTCTTTGATTGCCTACATCTGCTCTCAAAATACTAAGTGCAATTTCACGCCTTATCACAAACAGTCTCTGTTTATTTTTTGTATTCAAGATGGAAAAATTCATCTTGCTGCATACAGTATTTCTAAATAAAAACCAATATGGTACTAAAGTCTATTCCGGAGGAGCAGATTAGATAGCTTGACAGCCAGTGTGTGGCCTTCTCCTCACAAACACAGCACAGACAGACACTGGAGCTTTACCTGGAGGATTTTTAAAGCCGTATTTTTCATGATGGCTGCAGATTCATCGCTCACAGATTTGCATAGCCCGGAGGTTTATAGTCCTTTCAGAATGATAGAAGATCTTCATATCTCTGTCAGGAAACTGACAGATTCTCCCCTAAAAAGTTTGGTCCTATTATCCACTGGGTACACACTGAAGCAGAGCTGACACTAAATGTCTTCACATCAGCGCTCTGTCTTGCTGCGCAGCCCTACTTAAACTCAGATGTCGTGCTTGTTTAGCACTTGGCTAGAGAGTTGTTGTTGTTATAGCTAAAGGAAAAGACCTTTTATATGCTGTTGGCATTGCACTTTTTAAACGACCCATTTGTTGGCTGTCTGAAAGAGAAGACATGTTAACAGCATTTTTTTATGTCCTTCCTCTAATCATGTATAAGATGATTTGGATGACATGGATTTTTTTCGGGTTGTCTTAGTAGGGTACAACTTCAGTAACCGCTACTAGACAGTGTAATTCCTACTATATCATTTTGTTTCTTTATATCAGAATCAGAATCTGAATCAGAATACCTTTATTAGTCCCACAGACAGGAGATGTACGTTGTTACAGCAGAAAAAGAGCCACAGACAGCTTAATGTTATGTTACATAATGTTACATGCATTAAAAAGTATTACAGTTAAAAAAAAGTTATAATATAATAAAAAATATTATAAAAATAAAAAGTTACACAATTTACAAAATACACATCCTATAACAGTTCTTAGGATTTAGCAGCCAGGTATATCTTGCACAGTTATTAACGGCATATATATTATATAATAGAAGATTACCATACAGGAAAGATGTTCACCATCAAGCCATGCTGTCAAAACTCTTAGTTATTAATAGATTTGTATTATTATTATGTCTTTATTGAAAAAGACCATGCATACAAATACATTCATCTCAGGGAGAGACAATATACTATATGCCAGATTATAGCTCAAATGAATTTGCATCTGCAGTCCCTGGGCTGGTACACAGATAACGATCAACACTAAAAACATTTCTTAGTTTATGAGAACACAATGAGATTTATAAAGTTTAGGAGATGGTATTTGGACAATATATTGGAATGATGGTGTTTTTAATTATTTCTTTATTTTAAGTTGACATAATTAGCAGTCTTTAAATACATGATCATTTAGCAGGGGTAAAAGCCCTTCCTACTTTGTCCTCTCTAACTGTATATATGCATCCCTTCTGTGTTGCAGGGCAGTATGGGTAGTATCGCGTGCATTGCTTGGAAAGGCGACACCCTGGTGCTCGGGGACGTGGACGGCAATCTCAACTTCTGGGACCTCAAAGCCCGTTTGTCCAGGTATCAACTCTAGGATTGTATTGCCCAAGGTTTTAAGACACCTATAACATTGTACCTACAGTACATTGCATTACTACCTACCCTTTTTCCAAAGCATTTATTTGCACTAGGTTGTTTTGTTTTACGGAGGTGTTTTATGTTGTTATATTCATTTCGGCAATGGTAGGCTGCTTTTCTTTTACGTGCTTTCACAGACAACACAAAGTTAGTTTATTTCCAACTTGTTCCTCAGATAACAAAGGAACATTTCCATTTTATGGACCAAAAAACATATTTAAAAGTTCAACCTGGCAAAACTTTTTCCACCTGTTCTTAAGTCCTGTTTATGACTTAAAAACAGGTGGAAGGTCAGATCAACAGTTTTTATCAGGTTTAGAGAGCAGATCATCTGAATGAATGTTTCTTGCTTGCCTCTCTTGGCTTTTTTCAGTTTTGATATATTCATTCGATTTTTTAATCAAGACCAAAGCAAACTTGTAGAATATTCATGGCTCGACTGTCTATACTTATTGTTTTTTTCTGACTCAAGAGTGAGTAAATACATTTGGTGAGGCAATACAAAAATAAAATCAATGCCCGAGTTGTTGATGCTTTCAGGGGAATACCAACACACCGTGGCTGGGTGAAGAAGATCCGCTTCGCCCCGGGGAAGGGCAACCAGAAGCTGCTGGTGATGTACACAGATGGAGCAGAGGTCTGGGACACCAAAGAGGTGAGGCTACAGAACTAAAAACTCCCCGCATGCATCACCTGACTGCACTGCATAATAAGAGTAAAACATCTGCAAGGGGCTGCAAGTTAATAGGAGAATATCAAACATTTAAACAGATTAACCATGGCAGAAAAATGTGTTTGCATAGCAGTGTAATCACTGAAGCACTATGCACTGTGTTGCAATATATTCCGCTAATGTCCTCTCTCAAACTAACGCTGTGGTAATAACTGTAATTGTACTCTTATATTAAAGAATCTTTGCAATGCGCTGCACACATACACAAGTGCTTAAAGCCTTTTCAGTGGTGTAAATAAGCTCAACCATAACAGGATGGATGATCCTGTTTCCTGTGTGCGACACGCTTCCTCGCCTCCTCTTTAACTTTGTTTCCCCAAAGTCGTCCCAAACTAGAAAGTCCTCTCTTTGCTCTGTCTTCATTTCACCTCATCTAAGAATCCCTAAGGCTAGTGTGCGTTCCAGTTTATCATATGATCTAATGTCACAGACTGGATTTTTCTTTTTTATACCATATCCACACCAAGATATGTGTGATCTTTGCCAGCAGCATTGTGTATACAAATGGAAAAGCAGATGGATTTGCACAACCAAGAGATGCTCCAGTTAACTAGTGTGAGATGGAGGGGGAGGGTCTCACTGGAGCACTATTGTCTTTCTGTAAGGGAGCTGAGATAAGACAAAAATGTTTGACCCAAATCGTAAAAGCCAGACAACAGATGGATCCAGCGGAAGAGGGAAGCGAGCAATATGGCTGGAAAGAGATGGAGATGGAGAGGGAGGAAGGGAGAAGCAGGGGAGAATGAGGGAGGCGAGGGAGGAGCAGGGGAGAATGAGGGTGGAGAGGGAGGAGCAGGAGAAATCTTGGAAATGCTCCAGTGCTCTGCTGACAGTCGGGCTGCAATGACTCGCATAAAAAGCCAGTGAAAGAGGTTTGTTCTGAATAAAGGCTCTTTGTCCACTGAGCCTACCCAACATAAATTACTTGAATGTTACACACATCCTCTGCTTATGTTGAATCCAAAAATTCTTCCATATAGTTCCTTCCTTTCTCCTCTGAAATTCTGCTGAGAAACATTTAATATCCCACCATCTTCCTAGAGCTATTGCCCATGCTTTCAAATGAGCTTTAAAGTGACAGCTCGAGCATCTTGACCCTCCTCCTCTTCTCGCAGGTCCAAATGGTGAGCAGCATGCGGATCGGGCGCAACGTGAACTACCGGGTCCTGGACATTGATTGGTGCACGTCAGACAAGGTTGTTCTGGCCTCTGACGATGGCTGTATCCGAGTTTTGGAGATGGCCATGAAGTCCGCCAGCTACCGCATGGATGAACAGGACCTGACCGGTGAGCTAGTGGAGGAAGGAAGGAAGGAAAGAGAAGTGCATATTGAATTTTGATTGGGGAAATGAGTTGGATAAAGAGTTATTATTTAAGAAATAATTCATTAAAAATATATCCAATAACACAATGCAGGACATAATGACACATGATGTATTACAACTCAAGTTGGCATTAAAGGGGTCCTATAATGCCCATTTTCAGGTTCATATTTGTATTTTGTGTCTCTACTGTGACATGTTAACTTTACGTAGTAGTGATGTCACTATGTCGCGCAAGTAACAAAGGACTACAATGGAGGACGTGTTTCAGGCAGGGGGAGGAATGTGTGGGAAGGAAACTCCCTCTTGAGGGACATTTCGTATTTTAGCCTTTGTAGATAATATATATGCACAAAAACCTATACACCACATTACAGGAAAGGGAAACCCCAAGAACCATAATAGGGCCTCTTCAATATGCATGTTCCTTTTGATGGGGTGGATATTTTTCAGATCCAGTGTGGTGTCCTTACTTGCTGGTGCCCCGTGCTGCCCTCACTCTCAAGACCTTCCTCCTGCTGCAGCCCTGGTCAGGAACCTTCACCATGGACATCACTCAAGTGTAAGTATCAACGGCGTGTGGTGCAGGTTCAAACCCCACTGCAGTCAGCATGTCGTTGTGTCCCTGGGCAAGACACTTCACCCCAAATTGCTCCTGTGGGGATTGTCTACAGTGTTGAGTATGTAAGTCGCTTTGGATAAAAGCGTCTAACAAGTGACATGACATGTAATGTAAAATGTAATGTAACTCCGAGTGACTCACCGTACAAGTGTCCACTTTTAAATAACCCCATTTTAAGATCTCGGTGTAAGTTTTCAATTTTAAGTTTTTCTACCTCATCTGACCTGTGGTTTTAGGACCCAGGAAATGCACANTTACCAAAACAGTAAAATGCTGCCCATAAAAGAAGATTTGGAGCCACTTTGTATGTCATTAATGTTTTTATTGACCCTTATCACCTGATATCTCCTCCTTCAGAGCACCACTGTGGCTTTTTAACCAAATATTGCTCTCAGAGGGGGCCGGGGGTGGCTCCTTATTTCCATCTTTAGACTTTAGACTTTTGAAACAGAGCTGAAACAGAGGGGATTATGGGATGCTACAATGCACGATCTGTTTGATATTTGGAGCCAAACACTTCAGAGACATGTTTTGTATATATGGAGACCTATAATATACTGATGAAAAAGAGTATAATAGGGGACCTTTAAAGGTAGGGTAGGTAAGAATGGAGAAACCAGCTCGAGTGCGCTAGAATTTGAAAGTACACAACTGGAACAAATCTGCCCCTTCCGTCAGACTTCCTTACAGACCCCCTCCTCCAACACACACGAACGTGCACAT